GTGTCAGAGGCAATGCGATTGGCACAAGATAGAGCAGGGTTTAGGGCTGTTTTGCATAGGGTCGCTATGAGTCGCAAACGACTCGATGGCACATAATTTATAGCTTTACAGCTCAAAATTAAGTTTGAAAAGAAAAGTTAATTACAGGGAAAGGGAAGGGAAAAGTGTGAAAAAGGAATTAAAAAATACTAGAAATTTTAAAATCAGTTATAGATTAATGTTTTGCTTGGAACTAAATTGCCTTAACCTATTCTTAACATGATTCCAACCCTTAAAAGATTTGTAACTGTTTTTCATTTCAGCTGACTTCCAGTCTGGGCTCTACCACTGCACTACTATAAATATGTTCCTTTAGTGTTCGTAAGGTTTTCAAAGACCTGTTATTTAAGAAGTGGATGGCCAGTCCTGCTTGTAGGATAAAAAAATAAGGCCCCAGGAATATCTGGGATACCAGTTGACTTGTTTCCGTTAACAGATGCAGCTCTGGATGTACTCACCAGAAATTTGCCAGGAAATTTGGAGGATAGCTGGCCAACGCAACGGATTTTAAGAGGTCCATAGCCATACATGTTCCCATTTGAAAGAAATGTGATCCAACAGAATGTGGAAACTCTCAAACAATATCATTAAAGTCACACACAAGCAAGATCATTCTGCTGAAAATCATTCAAAAATGGCTAGAACAGTATATAGATAAGGAAGTGCAAGAAGTTCAAGAAGGATTTAGAAGAGGATGTAGCACGAGGGATATTACTTCTAATGTCAGAGTCTGGCTAAAAGAGTACCAGAAGAATGCGTATTTGTGCTTTATTGACTATGCAAAGGCATTTGACTGCCATGACAACATGGGTCAAACATTGAGAAGAACGGGGAGTTCCAGAGCACTTAATTGTGCTCATGCAAAACCTATACCTAGACCAGGAGGTTGTGCAAACAGCAAGGGAACACGACATGGTTTAAAAGGAAAGTGTGTGAGGGTTGTAGTCTCTCCATACCTATTCAATCTGTATGCTGAGCAAATTATTCGAGAAGTTGGACTCTGTGAAAAGGAATGTGGTA